TTTCCATATACAAGTTTGTTGTACACTTGCCACTTGTACGTCTAGTCTGAGCCTAAATTTAAGATTCTAAACGGAATGATAAGAAATTTACAATGATGTGTGTTTTTTATTATTTATTAATTTTTCTTGTGTCTATCATTGTGTAGGTACACTTCTAGACTGAATGTAGAGAGCTCTATAGCTAGAGTAACACTATGAAAAAAAATCTACAGTATACCTACCTTTAGGATAGTAAAAATGTTAAGATTTTCTTCAACAGTATCTTATCTGATAGGAAAGTGAATCTAGTTGGTACTTTGGGGGTCAAAAGTAAAAATTTCCCGCGCAGTAGTTTTCAATAGTAAGCTTCCATTAGTTCCATTTTTTTTAGTTTTTTTTCCATAAATATCAATACAATTTTATTTGTTGGTTAAAAAAGATTGAAAATTTAATATAAGGCTCCTAGTAAATTGTCTTAAAAGCAACTGAAAAAAATTAAAATTTCATAAGTACTTAAAATTTTTTTTTATAAACATTTAAAGTTCAAATATTGACAAAATACGTAAAAATGACGAAAATTTGCAAACTATTATGAGTTAGAAATTCATAAAAATTGTTCTTTTTAAATCTAAGATTTGATCTTAATCTTACCTTTAAATTTTATCAGAGGTCAATTCACTCTAATTTTTAAACTAACAATTTGCTGTGTTACGCAATTGTAAGACGGGGCAACAAAGGTCGGTGAACGTTCTCTTAAATGGAAACTATTGAAAATCAAATAAAAACTATTACATTTAGCTGCTATCTTGTCGTAGTGCTTTACCGGCCACATTGTGATTCATTAAATAATACCAGGAAGTTTAGTGTTTTAGTCGGAGGCTAAAATATAATTTTTTCGTACTACACATTTTATATTAAACTCTTAGTTACCACGAGGGTCTTTGCCACCCCACCAAAAAAATTGTATTGAATCTATACACATAAACATAGAGTAATCAATTTCTATTTTTCTTTATCTACAGAGTATAGACTACATCGCAAGTTAACGATTTATGTTCGTATATTGGTACAATAATTAATTCGGTATTATACATAATATTGCAATAAATGCACAAAACTATAATAATACTATACGTCTATACAATACCTATTATAGACAGTGAATTGCGAAATAAAAATCCCCGATTCCAGGAAAAAACATCCCAGACTTCAATATTAAGTACTCACATAATCACATGAAATTGATTGATTAAATGTTTTTTAAAAGCTAATTAATGTAATTACCACATTGTTAATATTTAATTATAAATAAACACAAGGTTTATAAACTAAGAAACGATATTTTCACCACATAAAAAGAAGAACTTTGGCTGTGCAACGTTGTTTTTATTTTTTTGATATCATTTATATGTAAAAAGTTTTTCAAGTTTGAAAAACACAAACAATAACGGTTTTTTAAACAGTAAGAACTTTTTTCATATAAGTGATATCAAAAAAATAAAAACAACGTTGCACAGCCATAGTTCTCCTTTTTATGTGGTGAAAATTTCGTTTCTTAGTTATGACTGTAGCCTTCTCGGTTCTTTCCCGCGCAAAATAGTTTTTGATATGTTGTACATTTGTAAGACGGAGACAACACATGCGGGTATAGCGTCCTCTTAATCATCATAGGTATAGACGGTATAGTTAAGTATATTATGTATTTATGTCACTAACTCACAACATAAACATAAACCTTAGGTATGTGAAAATAAAATTATAATACATATATATAGAAGTATAGAACACAATAAGAACTTATAAAATTATAAAAATAACCCGTTTATAAATGTCAAAATATTACATAATATTTATGGCTAAATAATATTAAGACAAAATCGTTTATTTATATAATTATATTATATTATACCTACTGGGAAAATGTTGTAATTATATAAATACCTACTTAAATTATTAATATAATTAAATTTTCTGATGTGGATACGAGGGGAACGACTGTCGTGTAGCACCTCCAAAAAAAAAATTTAATGTAACCAGTTCTAACGCTAAGTTGCTTCTAAATAATTAACGCAGTTACTCTTGCGTTACCCAAAAATAATAATAACGAAGTTTCTTAACGTTACTGAAAAGTGTAACTACGTTACAGTTATGACTAATGAGTAACGCACGTTACCCAACACTGTATACTTCGAATGTGCCTATTGTCGCATTGAGGCAATGAGTAGGTCACAGTAAAATGTAAATACCTATATGTAAGAAAGTGGCGGCGCCAGGGTGGGCCGCTGCCCACCATAAAATTTTCTCTTCCCCCGGCTGGCCCACATGTATGATTTCAAAGTATTTTTGGTTAGAATTACATCATAATATTTTAAAATTTATAAAATTAGTTTTTGCGTGCAACGTGTCTGACGTCTGTACCGGGTTTTGACACAATCCGGTCTACTCACTGTGTTGTGATGGTGGTGGTAGCAATAACGGTGTAATACATATATATTTTTTTTTTTTTTTATTTATTTAAGTAATTTACAATCTATACAACATTATGTACAATGGGCAAATTTGATAGTTAATAATGTGAAATAACAGAGTTTAACATTTAAGGGCAGGCACTCAGCAGCACCACCCGACCGAGAACATTATGATGTCGTGGTTTTTTTTTTTTTTTTTATTTTTTTTATTTTATTTTAGTAGGTCTCTAGGCCACTGTCTTTTGAGTTTTCTGCACACATTGCCAGGAAGTGAGGTAATACATATATTATATATATATTTAGCCATATTGGGCCACCGGGAATTCGGGAGTTTTCCCGATGGGCCACTTTTTCAAATAACTATGTATATTAAAATAAAAATTCTTAAATGCCTATTAGGTACCCTCCTGCGCAGTAAATTTGCATTTTTTTTCCGATTTTTCAAAATATGATAATACGAATTGGATTGCGGACAGTATGCAACAGTATATCAGGTAGGTAATCTACCTACGGTAGATTGCAGACACAACAATGAGTGACAGAAAGCAAAAATATAGTATTTTTTGAAAAGCTAAAACAGCAAATTTAATATAGTGGGGTCACAATATAGCGTTACATTACTTTTTCATTAGTAAAGTAGTGCGTTACAAATAACGTTACATTTTTTTTCCATATTATCGATTCATAGCTTACATAATTCGACCGGATTTTTTTGAAAGTACCATCAAATTAGGCATGCAAAAACACATATTTTGAAAAAAAAATTCCAAAACATCGCTTGGGAGTTAAACTGCATTCGTTCCCTGACATATTATACTATTATACTGGATGTCCGACTAGGATACAATACTTGAAATCCACCGTCATAATATAGGTTGGGCAATGTTTACAAATGGATATAATATTAATATACCAACAAAATTGTAATTATTTATAATTTATAGTTGAAAACTTGAAACGTTATTGAATTTAAATAGTAAATACTTCGTGTTTTACTATCTAAATATAATTGTGTTTACTGACTTTACTGTTTAAATTTATTGAGTATTGACATTTCATTACAAACAACTAAGTATACCTAACATAATGCATTAAAGCCATAATGGTGTAGTGTACTACATTTACGTTTACAAACCGGTCGAAACATGAAGGGCGTAAAAGCCACTTTTTCCCGTATGTAATGTGTTTCATAAGTATAAATACCATAGACCTATACGAATAGATAAAATATAATGTATAATTTATAATTAGGTTTCCTCTAAAATAATAAAAACATTCAAATATTTCAAATATGCAGCAATGGATAATAGTATAACATAATATTATGTGTCATTGGGCGATACACACAACTTCTACACTTCTACAGTCTACACTGTCTATAGTTATCTACACAGTACACAGTTGTTGTACACGACAGTATCACAATTCACAATTATAAATTGTTATCATAACACCACCTCTTACCAAAGTACTGTGAACCACGGTCCACGATAGTCTGTGCGATTTACTGTGATAAGCAAAAGTCGGTCGTCGACACTGTCTCGACATGGGATAAAGTGTTATCAGTTATCTTGAAACATCAATATTATTTTTTATACAAAATATTGTATAATGTATACTTAATGTACATTTAAAAAACAATAGCTCATAGTTACATAATTTATTTTAATAATTGTACTCAACGATGTATTTGTTTCGCTAAATTCAATCAAAACTGAATAAGGAATCATTTAATATCACGTAATGGTAGGTATTGTTAATTATTATATTACTGTGGTGCAAGTGCAAGAATAATTGTACCTATTTAACTTCGGTCTTCGGTTATAATTACAATTTTTATTAATTTAAATTAAGCTTTGGCTTAAATTTAAAACTAATACATTTTTAATTATATATTAATGCATTATCAAATAGGTACCTAATATGAATAAACTCATTTATTAATTTTTATTATAATTAAAACACCTTATTAAAATAAAAAAGAAGTACCTATTTAAATATCAGTGGATGAAATGGATAAAAAAATGTAGGTGCATGATAATAACTTGTTTTCCCCTGTGTATTTTTGTATGAAATATTTTAACTTATGTAGTGGCATGATAAAAAAATAAAACCAAAAGTGATGAGTATTATACAATTTCACAAATTTTGTTTCAAATTATTGCACCACTGATTATAAATTATAATGAGTAAGCTTTTTAGTATTTTAATTCTTCTCTCTTATAGAATAATCACACTACTATTCAAAATAATCATGTTAAATGCTTTCCAGTTTTAAATGTTGGTGGCACACAATATTTATTTCACGGTTCTCGTAATCATTATTGTAAAATTGCATTATTTTGTCATAAAATGATTTACTTCTTAATGAAATTGTTATATAGAATGATAGTTATTTTCCTTAAAAAATAGTAAGATAATAAAATTAAATAATATATTTTTAAATTTTATATTTCAGTGTGTTTTCAAAAGTCAAATGGAGTTATGTCATATCAAATGTTTGAAAGAGAAGTAATCCAGTAGATTTTTTTAAGAATTATAATTTAGTACATTATGTCAACTTGCATTTCTGATGATTCAAATTCAATAATTGGTAATGACTAATCATGAATTAAATCCCAATTCATTTTTAAACACGTTTATTACAAAAATTTTACATTTTTGGTTCATAGATATTCAGTTATATAGCTTAATAATTACCTATTTTTATGAAAAAACATAAATTTAATTGTAATTTTTACTTAAATTGATTCTATTACTATACCGTTCTTTATATCAAAGTACATTTTGTGTTGTAGAGATGTTTTTTTGGATTTGAATTATTACTTTAACTTCATACCTAATTAATTATTTTAAAATGTTTAAGGTATCCCTGTATCACAAGTGAATTATTTTTGTACTTATTGTCAAGATGAAATCTCAAGTTTTCCATGTCAATCAAATAATGCTTACAACTCAATGATTATTTTTATCCGTTGTACAATTTGTGAAGAATTTTTTCTTTGTTTAATGGTAACAATTAATTTGTACATATTAAAACCTTAACTATTTATTCAGTATTAACAAATGTGTGATCGTTTTAAAAATCTTATTTATTTTTATATTACTCAAAAATTATAATATACTATAATTAATATTATGTATGGTTAAAAGATTTGATAATCTGTTATTAACTGGGATAGTGGGATTGTAAGTTAACATACAAAAAATGCATTTACAAGTATGCACTGATTTACTTAAGACTATTATTTTTTGTACATTTCATTAAACATTTTTAATTGAAATATCAACAATTTATTGATTAATTCAATATTATATTCAATTTTATTTATATTACAATAATATCAGAGTTTTAGTTCCAAAGTATTTATTTAACTAAATTGGTTAAATTATATCTTAAAATATACATTGGATATAAAAAATGTAAAGTAGTAGATATTCTTTAATATTAAATTTATTAACATTTTGTAATAATCCTTATCCTTATTATTTTAGTGTTTTTCTAGCGGGGCTGAAATTGGCCTCCATAAGAATTACCACGATTATAAATTAGTTGTAAGTATAAGGTATATGGTTCATATAGAACATAATCTGACATAATTTTGTATTGATTTAATCATAGACAGTTTTTAAATCAAGTACTTTTTCAACAAAACTTTTGGATGCTTTAGAAGAGTGGATTTCTGAAGACACTGAAAAACATTTAGGATCAAAAAAACTTGTAGATAGTTGGGAAGATGTTGCAAGTGTAGTTGGATCCGAATATCCTGAAGGTATATTCAATTAAGTTATTGTTTATAAATTTATTTATTTACTATTTACCTAATGTTTTCTATTTTTTCTATTTGTTTCAAGATGTAAAAAAAGAATATTATGATACTTTTGTCAATGGTTATTTTGGTCAAAACATTATTAAACTAGTTAATAAACATATAGGAAATCCTCAAGTTGTGACATTAGATCAAGCCATAGCAATGGGTTGTTTGGAAAATTGTCCTATTTATTTTCCAACACGTAAAGTATGTTCTATATATATGTTACTAATAATTATTCTATGTATTTGTATCATCATGTATATTTTAATTAATTTGTATACATCTTTGTTGTTTTTGAATTTTGTATCATTAACCCTTAGTTGTAGACCCCCAAGTTTTTTCATTATTTTAAAAACATTAATTTTTATTTTTTGCAGTATTTAAAAATTCCAGCAGATAGAGAAAAAGAAGAAGATTATGAAATTCTAGAGGAAAATATTAGATATAATCGATATAATAATCAGGTAACTAATATATTTAAAATAAGTAGATAATTTATATGTTATGACTTATGACACATAATAACATAACATATAAATTATTAACACCATTGCACTGTACTACACTGTATGATGCATTATGTTCAAAACCAAGGAAAATAATATTTTAATTTTATGTGTACTATTTATGTATTTGGTAACTTTTAATTGGTAGTTATTGTTCTATTATTCCTACATTATGTTTATTAATGAATGATGATAAAACAATAGGTACATAATATCTTTTTAATTATACAGCTATCTTATATATTATTCAGTTTTAATTGTAATTATTAAATAAAAAATAGAATTAATTACCTATAAATTCACACAAAAGTGTCCATAAAATGTAGGAGGGATGTATATCCTTTCATAGACATAAGTCGTATAATAACTAGTAGTTATTAGGACTCATAATAGTTTTGATTAGATTAAGTGCATTCCAATCATATCTTTTGGCTTCATAGTCTTGTAAATTTAAATAGGTTACATGATAACAATGAAGTATTTTATATTAATTGTTACTTTTAAACCATTATAAATTATAATCCTTAGGTATTATCTTACTATTTACAAAAAATGTATAATTCCCAAAATATCTTATGTAAAAAATATAGCTAATGCTATTTTTGCACAAAATCCATCAAATAGTTAATAATTTCTGAAATGTTAATTTTTACGATATTATTTGGCTATATTTAAAATATGTTTTTCTTAGATACATATTGTGTGATATAGTACTATTATACTGTACATTATGCATTTTATATTTTGTTTAATCTGACTGTATAGAAATAGTAAATGAATAAGAATTTCTACAAATACTGCAATGTGTGATTTTGTGTACTTAACACAACAAATGTATAAATACGCTATGAAGTATTTAAAAACTTAATAATAAAGAAAAATATTAAATTTTGGGTTAAAATTTGATTTTATATTGGGGAAATTGTTTGCAAATGGGCTATTATTAGGTTAGTACTTATTACTATAGTAGGTATTTTAATTAACAGGATTTTCTGTGCATTGAAGAATTATAATTTTTTTTTTAGGATCTGACAATGCAAAATAAGAATACATTCGATAGTTACCAAGTACAATTGTTATTGCAATGTGCTGGAGAATTTGGCTATGGCAATTGGGAAGATATGTGTAAGCAATATAATACAATTATACACATGGAATATCCAAGAGGAAAACGCACATATTTATCAGCAATGAGTAATTCATTTTTATTTAACTTTTTGGGCATATTATTACAATATTAAATTTAAATTATGTTACACCTATCAACAGTGGCACAACAACCGGGATGATGGCAATGCCAAACATCAAGGCACTTGGGTTTCAAAGGGCCTTATGTCCTTTTATTGACATGAGTAGACGATCACATTTATACGACAATGGAACAAATACTCAAATTTGATTTATACTCTTTCTCCTATACTTCTATTTCCAATTAATTATCTTACTATTAACCCAGAATCTATACTCTATACACTTTAAATGAGTTTAGAGGCAGATCCAGGATGACCATGGGGGGAGGGGGAGGCAAGCACCGTAGTTGCAATGATTATTATATAATCTAAGACCATGTTTATGAGACTTTTGTAGTGGATATCGGGATACTTATAAATAGTAATAATTTTGTACTGTTAACATTTTTGTGGTGTTATTTTTCCTAAAACTTCCTTTTTAGTTTCCTAATATAAATTTAAAATAATAAACATTATTAATCAACTTCATTATTAAGAGTATTGTTTGATAAAAATGCTTACTATTAGTTTTACATATTATTAAGGCAATTTGTTAAAATTAATATTGATAAATATTTATAAATAGAAATTAAAGAGGAATATGTACTCCGTTTTATTCAAAATCCTATTTTGCGTGGAACTTGGTTACCATCCTCAATTACAAGACCTCAAATACCTGATCGAACAAAACGTATTGAAGGACCTAGATGCGAATATGAACATGTTTTGAAAAAAGTAATCAACAATTTTTTTTATGTAGACATTTTATTTTTATTTAACATATTTTTGATTATATCTTAAATGAATATCTACTTAATTATTGTTTTCAGCAACTTCCTATTGAAGATTTGGATATTTTTTTTTATCCACCTGCACTAGATGATGTAGATGAATACAAATGTACAATTGAAGAACAAAAAATTGTAGTAGATGAATCAGCTGAAACCAAAAGTAATTTTTAGTCACAAATGTCTTTGTTATGTCAAATTAAATCTGTTCTGAAACCAAAAAAGATTTTTTGAGGAAATTTAAACTTTATACATTGATGACTGTATGTACTAAAGACTTACAGTATTCCTTATATAATAAGCTCAAAGTTAGTTAACAATTTTTGAAAATTATTGACTTAATGTACAAACAACATGAATTTTATTCAAAATTACATTTTTATTTTAAAAACCAGGCTGATGCTAATTATTTTTTAAATATTGAAATTATTTTGTGCTTGAGAAATTACTAAGAAAATGTTCTATCATTTAGTTCTAATTAATTAGTTGTGCAGATGCTACATGAAACTTTTGAACCACTGTCCACTAGTACCAAAAAATGTAGTTACAAAGGGTATACGTGCCGTTCAATATAAAAAATTTAAACTACTTATATTACTATTACGTTTCTTTTGTCTGTTGAAAATAAAAATATCATTGATAATAATTTAGTAATTTTTGATTACATCAAATAATTTTATATTCATGTAAGGCTGGAAATTAACGAGTTAAAAAGTTAATTTAATTTAAACTTTTTAACTCTCCTACATAGTTATTTTTGGATTTTCATTTACTTAACTATTAACACGTTCACTGCGTACTGACGCCAATTGGCGTCTAATATACATTTTAAATAAATGGTTTAAAATTCCCTACGCGTGGCTGAATGTTATTTTATTATTATTTAGCGTGGATTAAACGCATGTTTTTAAATATGTATACATACGTCGTTATGAGCAGTTTCTTTATATTTTTTTTTTTAATTTCTTTTGTTTTTACTTTTATCATACGCACTGGATGAAAACTGCAAAAAGACATACGCAGTCAACGTGCTAACTTACTAAATTTATTTTTGGAATTAATGTGAAATTAAAAAATTTATTGTTAATTTTAAGAATTAAGTAAAGTTAATATATTTTGTTTTTAATTGCATTACATTTAACTATTTCAGTCTATTTAGTTTTCATTTCATAAAATATTTAGCCTGAATGGTTTATGTTGAACATTTTATATTTTTCCAATCTAACTTATTAGTAATAATAGATAGATAGTAACTATTGTTCTTTTATTTAAAAATAAAACACTTCAATGAAATACATGCTATATGAAAATACTGTATAAAGTATAAATACTGTAGTCTATAATTTAGTTTTTGGTTGGTAAGATATAAAGAACATTAGCGTTGCATGAAAAACATTTTTAACATACCTAATAAATAGTTCAAAAAATGTTAAACTAACTAAAAAACTAAAATCTTTTAACTTGAGTTAATCAAAAATTAAATTAACTTTTGTTTTAACTTTTCCTTATTGATGCATATTAATTTCCCTTAGGTAAATAAAAAAATATCCTTAACTTCCCCAGCCATGTATTTATAACACTATAAAAACGTAAACTATTTTTGTTTTAGGGAAGTGTTTAGTTTGTACATACTGTCAAGATGAATTTGAAGTTATTGGTTATCGAACTGACAGCCATAAATTTTCGAATTACAAATTAATTACTGTATATACCTGTTGCTCAAATAAACAGACTTGTGAAAATTTTTATTTATGTCTAGTGGTTAGTTATACATTTATATATGCATTTATTTGTTACATACATGTATATTAAAATAATATTATTCTACATGCTTGTAGTGTTTTGCAAGTGGAGCTGAAATTGGAAAACATAAAAATAGTCATGGCTATACTTTGATAACTGAAGTGAAAGTGTGTATTTTATTTTATTTTATTTATTCTCTTAATTATTTTTTTATCTTATTTATTTCAGACTTATTCTAGTGATGTTTATTTTCAAGGATCCAATTGGACTGCTATAGAAGAGTTATCATTTTTATATGCCTTAGAAGAGTGGTTAAGTGAGCACTCTGATAAATACATAGATCCATTAAATTCTGAAAATTGTATTACAGATTGGGATTCTGTTGCTCAACATATAAGATCAAAAAATGTTTATGGTAAGCTAAGAAGTATTTTTAGAACAACAGCTTTTTATATTTATTAAAAACTAAAAAGTTAAAAGTAACACACTTTTAACCATAGGTATTTTAAAGTTAAAACCTGAGGTTGTAAACTTAAATATTTCACTTATTATACATGATATCTACCTAAAAAATGTGCTGGTAAATTGCTGATTTTTTTTTTATTTGTAATCCAACTATTATAATACTATACCTTTTAAGAAATGAATTGAAGATTAACATTTTTTGAACTTAAATTTTAATTTCACAGTCTGTAAAATACTTAAAGAACAAATTATGAGTATTATACCCATGAAAAAAATACATGTTTCAAACAATAAAGAATCTTTATTGAACATTTATCCTACAATGTTTTGTGATATAAACAAATATTGTTGATTACGCAAGTGACAAGCCACATTCAAATTTTTTGGTTGTCAGTCTGCAACCACTTCTTTAAAACTATTTCAGTAACCTTCAGAAAAACTTTGAAAGAATAGTTGAAATAATAAAAATAAAAATAAAGATAACTCTAATTTTAATAAATCTCACTTAGAATTGTTTTTTTAATGCTATTATTTATTATTTATGATGGCTTTCAAACATAGTACACTTATATAATAATAGCTCTTTTTAACTATAAAATGTATTATATTTACAAAATTGTTTTGAATCATTGAAGGTGTGTAACTTAATGTGTAACATAGAAGTATGGGAAATAAAAAAAAGTATATCCTACATTTAGCAAATAGTGGTTCATGGATTTTAATATTTTTTCAAGAATTTGTTTATATAAATTTATTATGTTGGTTTAAATTTGTGATATATATTTTATATTTTATTTATTTATATGTATATTTTATATATTTAATATTTTCTCCATATAGAAGCAAAATCAGAGTTTGAAAATTTAATTTTAAATCAAAGAATTTGGCAATTTCTTGAAACATATGCCCATGTTGAACCTTTAATTACATATGAAGATGCAGTTGAGATGGGATGTTTCAAAACTTCTAATAAAACTTCAAATGTAAGTAAATAATATATATTTTGGAAGTAAAACTTCTTTACAGAGGGTACAAAAAAAAATAGATTATAAACCGTTACAGTCGGCCGCACGACAAACACAATAGCTAATGATCAGTACCATGAGATATCAACCACAATGTTGCGGGTTTGATTCCAGTCGAGGGAACTAGGTTTTTTGGATTATTTTCTGAAAGAAGTTTTACTTTCAACACTCACTTTTTTTTATCTGTGTATAAACTTCAGATTTTGACAGTATTAAAATTAGCGTAATGATCAGTACCATGAGATATCGACCACAATGTTGCGGGTTTGATTCCAGTCGGGGGAACTAGGTTTTTTGCCTTATTTTCTGAAAGAAGTTTTACTTGCAACACTCACTTTTTTTATCTGTGTATAAACTTTAGATTTTGACAGTATTAAAATTTTTAAGCTAGTTTTCTAGTATTATTTTATAATATTAAACATACTCATAACTCATTCCAAAATTTAATTACCGCAAAAACCACAAATGATGCTCTATATCAAGCGTGCCCAACCTTTTTCAACTTGCGGGCCACATTCAAAATTCATATTCATAGTTTTTTTTGTTCATTCTGATAAATACAATACAATGTATAATATTATCTTTATTCACTGAAAATTTCTAAACTAGTCGCTAGCTAACCATTTGATTTTGTCATTAGAAACTACACAATTCTAAGATATTTTATAATTCTTAAAAGATTATAAAAATAAAATTTTTTTTTAAATTATTATTTTTATTTTTATTTATACCACCTACCTATACAAATTATCTAATTTTATAAAATTTTCATGGGCCGTTTGGAATACTTCTGAGAGTTGGGCATGCTGCTCTATATTATATTATTATGATTAGCTCTACTGAACACAAATTTATTATGTTTTAAATTTTTAAGATGGAGACAAAATATCATGTTCTCCTCTTAAGCATATAAAATATAACATGATTTATGTTTAAAGCCAAAACGTTGGTTGATTTTTGATTTTAGCCCCCCCCCAACCACACAAACTCACCCATATGAAAGATTTGCATATAAATTATTTTATTTTGTTTTTAAATCAACAATATTAATAGGAAAATAATCAACTACATTGATATTTATTAACATAAATTTACATAATAGTCAATAACTATTTTAATCAGATATATGATACCAATGAAGTTATGAATTTATTAAATTTTCTATCAACAAAGTATACAAACGTTATTTGTTTTGTATTTTAGGAATATTTGTCTTCAAGTTAGGAAAGATTCTCGTTTATAACAATTCACTTTGGATACTTTTGTATTTGACACACACAAATTTACTATTCTAAAACTTAATAACAGTATACATTGAAATCTATAAATATTGAAAATAATAAAAGATTGGGAAAAAAATGTTTTTTTATGTAAACATTTTTTAATTTAATTGAACTATACTTTAAATGGTTAATATTTTTCTTATTAACAAATAAATATAATAAAATAAAGTAAGACATGCTTAAAATTAAATTTAAGAAATAAATTTACCCTTTATAAATTTATATCATTACCCTTCAAGTGTGTTACTTATTATTAATAATAATATTTGTATTGTTATAATTAAAGTAAATAAATAAATAAATAAAATAAATACATTTAAGAAGATATATAAAATAAGAATTTAAGAAAATACAATTTCTTCTAGTAATTGAATTTATGTTTAAATATTTGCCAAACTTTAAGATTAAAAATCATATCGCTGTCTAGGAAGTTGTCCATATTACTTCTAAAAAATGAAATGAAATAAAATAAGTACTTGGTTTGAAGATAATATAAACTTATATTATTTCTTTTTAGTTAATTTCAAAGATATATGATTTTTATTTAATGTTTTTTTTAATTGTATCAATAAACTAAATATTTTTACATTATAAGATTCAAATTTGATTGATAAATACCAACAAATGTTAAATATAATATAATAAGTTGTCAAAAACCATTAAATAAGCTTCAATATGCATGAAAAGTATGCAAAATAAAGCTTTATAATTCAATTCTCTGTACTTTGAAACTCTTTTTATACCACTTTGCCATGTTTTACTACACCTATGATGGATATTCATATGCTATAAGTCCCAAACCCTGGTACCTATTTTACTTAAATATTTTTAATGAAAAAAAAATAGTATGTATAAAAATATATTAAAATAACATTTTACATTTTATAACTATAAAAGAAATTTAATAACGCAAAGTATTTATGGTTTTAAAAATTATTTAGTCTCAATTAATGATGTATTCATCAATAATTGCTATTTTTATTTGAATATAGGAAGTTGATGTACATTTTTATTGTTTTTATGTCTCTCAAAATTTTAGATTTTGAAATTAATTTAAGTTTCAGGTCCAGTTGATATTAAAAGTCTTACAAAGCACTAAGTTGCAGTGCAATTTATCGTCTTATATATGTGTCTTTATAATTATTAATTGATGTATCTTCGTAATGTCTTAAATTTACATAATTAATTTTTTGATGCTTATAATGTTAAATATAATATTAGGTAGGTATTATAAATTACATTATTGAAACTTGACTAACCTGTGGTTTTGAATGAGTATAGGTATTTTATTTCAACTTTATTATGCATGTTTGCATGTAATTTGGTTTTTAATATTATTATATATCTTATTATATTTAATTATATCTTATTTTTTGAGCAATGTAGAAACAATTAAAATTTAAATATGTGTTAAATTCCCAGTTTTTTAATATTTAATTTTTCTTTCATTAAAGCATGATATATATTATAAACTTCTATCAAACCCTTTTACACAATTTGATAAACTCCAATTGGTTTTAAATTTTTTTTCTGAATGTAAGTATCTATTGTAATGTTACATAGTTTATTAAATTTACTATGTTTCAATTTCAACTCAATACAAAAATTAATATTTATATTATTAAATTTACCATTTTTTTTTTTTTTTATATATTAACTAACAAAATATAAGCAGTCTAAAAATATACCTACCTTTTTAAGTGATGCATTAAATCTCTATATTGGTACTGATAGCTAGTTATATAATTGGACGGTGCCCGGGCAAAAGGGAATAAGTTCATTTTTCCAATTTTTTTTTTTTTATTGAATATTCTTGTAGATTATTATAATCTACATCGATTGGCATCAAAAAATTAAAATAATTTTATTTTCATTTTTTTTATAAAACCCATGAGAAAAAAGGAAAAGGTATCAGTCATTGTACAAATAGGAACAGTTTTTTTTAATTTTCTCAAAACAGAGTTTTTGTACTTATTCCCTTTTGCCGGGCACCGTCCAATTATTTTTTTGTAATTGTTTAATAATTATTATGAACTTTTAATTATGTGTAAGACTAACTAATAATTTATTTTATAGATAATAACAGATACAGGAGAAGGAATTATAGTAAATGAAAAAAATATATGGAATAAATCAGATTTAGAGTTATTATTAGATTACACGGCTATTTATGGTTATGGTAATTGGGAAAAAATTTCAGAAGAATTCAATAAAACTAATTTTTATGAACATTTTGGAAAAGTTAATCATTTTATTATAAGAACTCCTGAAGGTATATACTACATTTTTTGTTAATAATTTTTCGATAAATGTTGACTGTGTGTTTAACTATTTGATTTTTTAATATGTTTGGTATTATATAAATATATTATATTTAAAACAAATATATTGTTAATTACATGTTGAAAATAATCACAGAATATTATTATTATTTAATTTATGTATTTATTTATGTTTATCTAACAGAAATAAAAAAAGAGTATTTACTTCGATACTTTGATGATCCAATAAGGCGAGGAACTTGGAAGCCACCATTAAATAAGCCAATTATTTTAGATCGTACATGGTTTTTTAAACAACCTGTTGAATTGAAGTATCCTGTAGTGGATCATAATTTATTTGCTGATACTAGTTATAATTACATTACTGATGAATTTGAATATGTATGAAAATGTCTTAAAAAAATATATTATATTTTATTGTTACTGATATAAACTACTTTAAGCTTATTATTTTGATTAGCCTTACATGAATATTGCTGAATCTGCCTTGGACAATGTGGAAGATTTTGAAACTAATTTAGATTTTTATCATTCAAAACTTTCTATGGAAAAATATAATGGCATTACTAAAGATATGATGGATACTAAAGATACCTTTGTAAGATATACCATCATATAAATTATAAAACAATATTTTTACTTGAAATAAAGGTGTTCTATAGTACATTTTTATTACATAGTATATTATATACTTATATAGTAATATACTCCTACAACTGCTCTTATATGTCTCAGAATTATTAAAAAAAAAAAAATGTTTTCATAAACATTAAATTAATTTAAATGTAGGCTAGTTATCTTAAATAGTGATTAATATTAAAAGATGTCATTCAGTTACATAATTTATTTATATTATAATTTATATTTATAATATTATTATTTATAATACAATTTTCTAGAAATCAAAAGATCCATGTACGAGCACAGTGTTCAATATTAAAAAAGGTAATGTAGTTGTTTATGAAACATTTTATTAACTGATTAATGTTACTAATATAATTCATTATGTTACAGTAAAAGCATTAATTGCTTTAGAACGGTATAATGATATTTTGTGGGATCGAAGAATAGCTAAAAAATGTGTTCACAACTATAGATTGATTGAACATTTTGCTATGTACAAAAATAAAGATATACCAAAAATAAAACAATTGTAAGTGTAATAGTTGATAAAGTATATCAAAAACTTAAAACATAAATATAAATACAAATATAATATGATTTTACTTTACTAAATAAATTATCAAAACTAAATTAACCTGTACTTTAGGTATATAATTTTCAAAATATTATTTTAAATTTTATATCTAAAAATGAAATAATATCTATTAAAATTTTTGTTTATGCTTGTTCAGTGGCACTAAGTTAGATATTTACTAAAAAAAAAAAAAAACCACTCATAATTTATAAAAGTGCACTATTTTTATAAGTTTTGGTCATTAAAATAGGGTCCGAATACATTTTGAAAGTTGCATTGTATTGAGTTTTAATTAAAAATATGTATAGTATTATATATTTTTTTACATTTTTAGTTCTGAACAAACTTTTGTGGAGCGTTTAGTGAAAATGTCAAGATTTATGAATATTGACTCTCATAGGGCCTTGATTGAAGGTGTAAAGAATGAAAAACTGCTGAGACTGCGATTAAATGAATTAACATATTACAAAAAGATAGGTTTAACAAAACTATCTGAACTCAATAAGTTCAATAAATTACAAAAACATAGATGTCAAAAAGTTAGTGAAATTTTTGTAAGAATTGTAGCACTTTTTCATCAATAAGATAACAAAATAAACAGTTATGTATATTGAATATCATTATTTACTATTTTTATTTTTTAGAAACTGTCAGCACTTCTTCATACTGAAGATTCATTGGATCTTGGATTTCAAACATTTAATGAACTTCTAATTCCTTCAGGATCTAATGGAAATGGGTAATTATCTATTAAGTCAATATATTCAATATTGGTCAAACAAAAATATGACTATCTAATGGTTAATGTTTGTATGGATTGTGTTTAATTTTAAATTCATGAGTTAAATCCATTCTTTAAAATTTTAACGAGGTATATAGATCAATATTATATAATAATAGTATAAAATATATTTTTTAACTAAAGAGTAGAGTTTGTCAAATTTGAAAGCAAATGCTTTAATAAAAAATTATAGATATAATTCTTACCTATGTACAGATGTTTTTTTCAAATTTTATAAAAATGGAATAAATAAAATTTTATTTTGCCTTATTGCTTTTTTATTTTTATTCTTATTTTTTATATTTTGTGTTATTTTCAATTTATTACAATAATTGTGTAGATGCAAATTCATAAGAATTTACAATGTTCGATGTTATTTTTAAAATAATATAGTTAAAGTACCCACATTGATAGATGTACCAGGAGTATTAGTAGAGTAATTGTCAGCTGTAGCTTATTAAGCTTTATCACTGTACCTATATTATATGGAATCTAATTTTATAATTTAGTTTTAATTGGTAGATTATGTTGAAGTACAGTGGTTCTCAACCTTTCTGTGTTTGCGACCCAAGATATTTACCCAATTCTTAGTGTGGCCTTTTTGAAAATAATTTTCAATTGGGGTCTACCCACCACTCAACCACCTTCATTTTTTCAATAACCATAGCTAAAAGAAACTATTAACCTTCATTTATTTAATTTTTTATTTAAAGAATTAGGCTTCAACAGTGAAGCCTAACACTGCCTAACCTGACAACGTTTTACATATATGTTTCTTAAAATTAGGTATTTCTTTTATGGGGTAATTACTTGTACCACCTTTTTATGGTTTTTTTTTTTATGTTTTTGAGTTTATTGGATGTTGGTATTAAATTTCATTGGTTTTGCCAAATTGAGAGGATATTTTTATTGATAGAGTTTATTATGTCATTGGAGGTTATGTCATTTAAAGTAGGGGTTGGAATATTTTTTGTTGAGAGAAGAGTATTGTTATGTTATAGAACCGAAGGTAAACGGTGGTAAGATATTGCTTTGATTTTATTCCAGACTTCCATTGAGAGAGTTTTGGTATTAATGGAGCTAGTATATTTTTGCCATGCTTCTGTTTTGCTCTTTTTGGTGATATATCTCATATCTGGAGTGAGGCCGGGCTTTTTTAAGTTGAATATTATGGTTGAGAGAGGATTTTGATTTTTTAAATTTATTGAGACATCTTTTGTACAATTTTATTGATTCATTGCATTCGTGATTCCACCAAGGTACTAGGTTTTTTTGGTGTTATGGTTAGTTTTACTTACTGCCTTAGTGGCTGCCATTAAGATAGTGCCTGTGAAGTTATTAGTTATAGAATCGACTATGGTTTGGTTGATGGGAGAGTCAATTTTTATTGGGTTCTAATCTCCGTGATTAATTGACTTAGGAGGTTGTTGAATAGTTCTCAATTAGGTTGTTTGTTATTCCATTTGGGAGGAAAAGGTATTTAGGCAGATTGGTCAAGTAATTCTATGGACATCGGCCAGTGATCACTACAATTATAATCGGTGAGAACTTTCCATTTTGTTTTAGGTGCGAGAGAGGAGCTGGTTATTGACAAGTCGATAGACGAGAAGGAATTATTTGCTACATTATGTCGGGTGTGTTCTCCGGTGTTTAGAAGAATGATTTGTTCGTTGTCGAGGAATTGTTCTACAATTTTCCCTCTAGCATCAGGGTAGTTTGATCCCCAAATTGGGTTGCAGCTGTATAGGAATTTCTGTGTTTTCGATGAAGGTACTGACGAAGATAGCGACGCCACCCCTTGCACGGAGATTGGTTTAACGGTTTTTGAAGTATCCATTGTATCCTTGTATTGTGAAGGAAGCGTTGGGTCTCAGATTTGTTTCTTGGAAACAGAATGCAATGGGTTGGATGGAGAACTTTGCTCGGTGGATGTTTGTATAGTGCTTTTATAGACCATTTATGTTCCATTGAATAATAGAATTCATATTTAATATATTTTTATAAGTTAAGAAATGAAGGATGGTGTGGTTGTTCAGCTATGTGTGTGTTGTATCTTTGAGTTTGGATTAAGCAAGGGCTTGTTGAGGAGGTGGTAGTGTTTGACACAGAATTTGTGCTAACTTTGATAGACGTGTTTTGAGTTAACGATCTTTTACTATGTCTCGAATTGAGTCTAATAAGTCCATTAGAGATGTAAATGTTATATCAGTATTTGCATTTTTAGTCAGCTTGTGAATTTTCATTAATTTGAAAGTTAAGTTGTCTAAGATGTATCTAAATTGAAGAAAAGTAATTGGTGAGGAATCCTTGGTGATGAAAAATTCTTCCACTGTTTTTAGCCCTCTTCATAGGCATTTTCTTGTCTCTTGATTGAGTTTTGGGTTTTTTTAGTGAAATTTTCTTTAGTCGGAATGATCATGGAGGTGTTTAAGTTGTTCGGTGAGGAGGGGGGTTTTGAGGATGATGATTCGGAGAATGGTCTTTTATACGTCTCGTTTGGAGGAGAGTCGTGGGATACATACGGAGTGTTGTTTGATGGTGATGATTTTTTAGACCAGTACATAGTAATTTTTTCAAGAAGTTCTAAATTACGAAAATTAGCAAATTATTTTAGTTAAAAATTCATAAAAATTTTTCTTTTTAAATCTAATCTAAGATATGAAAATGTAATACAAGATTCCTTATAAGTTTGTCTACTTTTATCAAAAAAAAAAAATTGCTAGAAAGACAAACTAAATTTTTATAAACGTTTGAAATTCAAATTTTTACAACATTGGATATTCACTCGATTTCTTATGTAGCGATTTTCTTATATTGTTGTGATTCAAAAACGAATAACTGTAGATACATGAAAATTTAACTGAATGTTTATTTTATCAATTCTTATAATTGAAAAAATTTTCAAAATATTTTGACTTGTTTTGAACTGTTTACGGATATTTTCAGTTTTGAATATTTTTAGTTTTTTTTCTCTAAATATCAATAAAGTTTTATCTGTTGGGCCAAAAAGTGTAAAAATGTAATACAAGGCTCCTGATATATTATTACAATAGTAGTTGAAAAATGTTTAAAATACACAGGCACAATATTTTTTATAAGCATTTAAAGATCTATTTTTGACAAAATTTATCAAATTTAAAATTGAATAATTATTTCGTAGTTAAAAATGTATAAAATGTTCAACTTTTATATCTAAGAATTGAAAATTTAAAACAAGATTCCACGTAAGTAGTTAATTATGTTACCAAAAAATCTAAAAGATACATTTACAGTTTATTTTTATAGTCATTTTAAATTCAAATTTGGACGAAATTACATTTTAAAAAAAAACATAGAATAACTATTTTAGCTATTTTGTTGTATTTGAATAATATTATTCGTGGGTACTTGAATCCTCTAAAGTACACTATTATATATTTATGATAGTATCATCGTTTGTTGTTGATGTATCTTCCTATAAATACCTAATGGATATTGTGATATGATTAATTTGGAATTTATTGTAGGTACCTATTATAGGTCAATTTTTTTTAATACCATAGATAAGTATATAATATGTCTTATATCTAGACTGACATACTGTCTCTGCTGAGAATCGTTTTGTTATACAACTATATTATATCATTAAATTCAAATTTAATACCATCCATTATACGCAATGGCCCTCTTGTAACCTACTGTACAGCAGAGCGACTTTTTTATATTATAATTTATATTTGGTTGGGCAGATCTACTATACTGTATACATTATAATCATTTCATAAATTTTCAATTTTGTATAAATTTGATTACTATTAAAGTTCAGAAATAGTGTGAAAAACATTGACAGTACAATATTATTTAGTAGGTCCCTATCGTTTATTACAATATTTTGAACTAATTATTTATTTAATTATATTTTATTTTATTTTAGATTCTGAGCGGAGCGATGAATGTATTGGTTTTACAATGATGTATGTTTTTATATTTTAGATTCTGAGCGGAGCGATGAATGTATTGGTTTTACAATGATGTGTGTTTTTTTTTATATTTTTATATTTTTATATTTTTTTTTGTGTCTGTCATCACGTTTTGGGGCAGTAAAAGTTCTTCGATTTTCTTCAATAGTACCTTTTCTGATAGGAAAGTGAATCTAGTTGGTACTTTGGGGGGTCAAAAGTAAACATTTTCCAGTAGTTTTCACAAGCGCCGGGAAAAACAACATAAAAATTAAGGAAAAACGGGAATTTTTACGCAAAATCGATTTTCCAAAAAATCGAATTTGGTTTTTGGTGTAACTTTAAAACAAATGACCGTAGATACATGAAATTTTCACTAGTTGTTTATATTTGCATTATCTATACACGATAACATTTTCAAAATATTTTGATTTATTTTGAACTGTTTAGGGACATTTTCATTTTTCATTTTTTTTTAGTTTTTTTTCTAGAAATATCAATAAAATTTTATTTGTTGGTTGCGAAAGCTTGAAAATTTAATAGAAGGCTCCTAATATGTTGTTTCAAAGGCAGATGAAAAATATTAAAAATCCTTAGTCACAATTTTTTTTTATAAGCATTTAAAGTTCAAAAATTTACAAAATATGGAAAAATCACGAAAATTAGCAAATTATTTTGAGTTAAGAATTCGTAAAAATTTTTCTTTTTAAATCTAAGATTTGAAAATGAAACACAAGATTCCTAATAAGATTATCTACCTTTATCAATAAAAAAATCTCTACCGTACAGTCAAGTTAAATTTTTATGAGCGTTTGAAATTAAAATTTTTACAACATTGGATATTCACTCGATTACTCATGTAGCGATTTTCTTATTTTGTTGCAATTCAAAAACGAATAACTGTAGATACATGAAAATTTCACTCAATGTTTAAATTAGCATTTTCTATACACCATACAATTTTGAAAATATTTTGACTCTTTTTGAGCTGTTTATGGACATTTACAGCTTTCAATTTTTTTTAGTTTTTTTTTCTATAAATATCAATAAAGTTTTATCTGTTGGGCCAAAAAGTGTAAAAATTTAATACAAGGCTCCTGATATATTGTTACAATAGCAGTTGAAAAATATTAAAAATACATAGGCACAGTTTTTTTTTATAAGCATTTAAAGTTGGAATTTTGACAAAATTTATCAAAATCTCGAAAATTATCAATCGTTGGAATTAAAAAATTATAAAATGTTCAGTTTTTATAACTAAGAGTTGAAAATTTAAAACAAAGATTCTCTTAAATAATTCATACTGTAACCAAAAAATCTAAAAAATATATAAACACACTTATTTTTTACAGACATTTTAATTTCAAATTTAGACAAAATTTCATATTTAAACCAAGAATTACGATTTTAGTTATTTTGTTGTGATTGAATAATATTATTCGTGGGTACTTGAAACTTCTAAAGTGTACTATTATATATCTATGACAGTATCACGGTTTTTGTTGATGTATAACGCGTTATAACTGTTATAAGTACCTAATGGATATTGTGATAATGTGATATGAATATATGATTAATTTGGAATTTATTATAAGTCAATTTTTTTTTTAATACCATAGATATGTATATAATATGTCTTATACATAGACTGACATACCGTCACCGCTCAGAATCGTTTTTCTTATACAATGATATTATATCATTGAATTCAAATTTAATACCATCCATTATACAGTGACCCACTTGTAACCTACAGTACAGCAGAGCGACACCCACTTGCCCACCTTTTTTTAATTTTATTTTATAATATGAACAATGACAATACTTTGTATTTTATGTTTAAGTATAATATTTACTTGTGACACAAAATAAAATTTTTATATTTTTATACTATTCATGACATTCTTTAAAATGCACCTATTAAATTCTAGATAAGAAATTTCTAAAATAATATTAAAATAACATACAGCATACGGCGTTTGATTCTTAATACTTTTCTAAAAAAAACATACAGTTTACACAATATGAATTTAATTTGTGAATGTACAAACTACTCATTATACGTTATTAATTATTATATTATTATTATTATTATAATTAATTATTATTATATTGTACATTATCATTTTCAAATTATAATATTATGAATGACGGATACAAAAGCGTGACAAATATGAAAACAAGTCTGAAAAATAGCAACCCATTAAAAGTTTTAAATTTGTGTATTAATTTTTGATTATTAATAATGGAGAATTCATTTTAAAATTGATTGTTTCTATACAAAGAAATGCTAAGATGACCCTCAAAGTTTTCATTTATAGGTTTAACTATTTGAATAAATTAAAAAAATTATTACTAATGGCAATTACTAATTTCAAGAACTTAAAATGTATAATATTGATTTGATATTTATAAATATTAACAATGTTGCAAAATATAATCTATACACCAGCCCACGAGCGGCCGACCGTAAACCGCACATTGATACTGATGCTTGTGTGGTTTCCTAGCCAAATTTTGTCCCACAATGGTATCATTCCCACTACTCGGCAAGGTTAGGTTAGGTTAGCAAGGCGGGACTGATGCGCAGCGATGAATATGTTTTCGCGGTCGGTTTACGGTTGGACTCTCGTGGGCCGGAGTATAGTATTAAATATAAATATTATTTTCATAATGTGCATGTTTATTATTTCAGTTATGTTCGAAATACAACTTAAATACAAACTATTATTTGAAAACAAAATGTGAGATACTAAACGTAAGTACAAATTGTGTTTATAAATTAAATCTAAATATAAGCTTCTGATTGTAATAAATTAAATCAATTTAAATATCATCATTAGTACCTATTGTAGTAATATTTGTATTTACATTGATGTTATAATAAATTAATTCTCTTTGATATTTAAAATTTTTGAATAAACTTATTGTGTATGTTAATTATTTAATTTTATGTTGTAGACTTTAATTTTGGAGCTTAAAAATGTAATTAATAGAAAATATACCACTTTTTTTAACAACAGAAATAAGTTTTTGGTTTTATAAAATATGTCACATAATCTTCACATGATATCTTCTCTGTTCAAAAATTTAAACTGTAGCTATAAATTTAATATGTATTAGTCAAAAAGTTTCTATCAAGCATTAGTATTCTAAAAATTATTTAAAACTCATTTATTTATTGTATTTTATTTTAACCCGGGAGAGGGTCGTTGGTCTTTTTGACGGGGTTATTTTTATCTTGATTATTATTTAATAGTTTATTACTTGAAACAATTGGTTATTCCCAATACTTTTCATACATGTGTAAAATCAAAAAATATAAGAATTATTAGCCCATATTTTTTTTTATTATTTATTTTGTTTGTCTAAGAGTATAATGCACCTTTACCTTCAAAAATAAATTATTTTGTTATATTATATTCTTTTTTTGCTAGTAAGGAGAGGATTGGGCTTTTGGGGGTAGTCTTTAATATCTGAGTTGTATAGTATATAATAATATGTAAATTATATAACCAAGTATGTTAATAAATGTTAATAAATTAACTTTTCAGGATTAGAAAAATAATTTCTAATATGCCAGTCAAAAAGACCAACAAAACTCCTTATCAAATATTTTAACATGGCACCTCTCCCGGGTTAAACACAGTTCATCTGGAAGATTTTATAAAAATTAATTCTATTATTTATACAATTATTTATTATTTCATACAAATTAACCAAAAAATCTACAACTAATTTTAAAGTTGTCATAGAATGTAAAGTTAATTATATCTATACAATTAATTTATATATCTATGAAAGTATTTCATAAATAGCTACATTTTACTTTCTTTTTTTAAGTTCTTTTGGAACTTTTGATATAACTGATAGATGTCTATAAACATACCTTATAAGTTATACTTTATAATTAAATATATTATAATCTCTTTATTATATACAAAAAGTATTGGGCATTTTATCTTTTGCTAACTATAATTCTATAAGAATTAAATAATAATAATACAAAAAAATGGTACAAATGACCTTTATGAGTTGAAAGTTTTGGTTGGCAAGCAAAATGATAAAGTCCTCTATCATAATACAAATTAGTTAATATTATCAATTTTTAAACTTTTTTTTTCTAAACTGTATAGTTTGAAATTATTTCTCAGTTATGAGTACTTAATAGTGGATTATATTTTTATCTTGTTTGTTATTAAAACCATTATCATGATATTTTTGTTATGTTATAAAATACATTATAGTTGTTAAAAATGTAACATTTTTTATCATGTTGTACAATTAAAAGGTATGATAGTAAAAATTATTGAATTAACTATTAATTATAATTAAATAAGTATAAATCCTGTTGCCAAATATATTATAATAAATGGCTGTATAACTTATAAATAAGCATAATTGAATGGGTACACTGCACTAGGATTAATTTTGGTATAATACTAATGCAATTATTTACACTATTGTTGTGTTTTATTAACACAATGATTGAATTATATAGAAATATAGAATAGATTAAACAATCAAAATAACTTTGAAGATATTATATAATATATAATATATTGTAATTAATTAAATTGAATAACAACTACTATTATAATAGTTCAAATGCAATTCAAAATTGGTTAAAATTAGTATTTTTATTAGTAAATAATCAATACATTACATTATATAGGTAAATTAAAATAAGTGCCTATTAAAATTGTATTGTTGATGATTGAAAAATAACAAGGTGTATTCATATATATTTATTTTTATTTGAAACTTACACATATGTGATTATAGATGTTGTTTTTATTCAGTGTGAATTATTTTTAAATGTATTATACTCTCTGTTATTTTTCTTAAAATTTGTTTTATGCTCAATTTTACATGTGTATTCTCCTGATAGTAATTCTATTTCCTAATTAATTTCCATTGACATGTATTATATTAAATCCATACTATACATCCAGTCTCAATACAATATAATATTCCAGTTTTTTATTTCAATGTATTACATTTTTTAATCAATGAGAGCTAAATTGCCACATGGCACTGTAAGTATCTAATTATATAAGTTATTATATACTATCAAAAATGTATCCATGTTTAATACCTACATCAGCACCATAATATAATACATTCAAAGTTATAGTAATGACTGGGTAGTATGAATGGGTTACAGCCTGTGGGCACATAGTACCAAAGTACCCTATTGTTGTTATCTAAGACTTGAGAAACTCGACATATTGACTTACATTTATGTTTAGTCTTTTAAGTTAACCTCTGTAATTAATTCTGACAGTAGCACAGTTCCCCAAAACTCTAATCTCGGTATGGTAGTTGGATGCATTGGTGCAACTCTGGACTTGGAGAAATATAGGAATTTCAACGACAACCCAGATTTAGCACTTGCAGCACTATTAAATACTACCATGGATTTTTGTGGTAATGCTGCCTGCCTTAACAACAGCATTATGAAGCAGATAATAGACTAACATCTCACGGTGTCCTTCTTGCCCTCTCCATATGGTCTACTCTAAGTATTTTTGTATGAAAGCTTTGTATTATTTTGCTAGCGGAGGGTCCTAAAGCAAACATCTTTTTAAATTGATATACTTTTTCACTGCTATGTTTTGTGAATCACCCAATACTGAGGGTTCTTGCTTCTACTAGACTCATACTAGGACATAGTTTATGTAAAATATTCTTCTGCATAGCATTCTTCGTTATCACGAATATTGCTTTTAGTGATATATCGTGAAATAGCACAATTAATGCTTGTATCTAGATCATGAAGATGTATAGTGACAATCCAACAGGTTTAGTTCTGTTGGAAACTAAATTACTTAGACATACATATTTTTTCACCATAGAAAAGCTCATAGAAAACATCAGCTCCAAATAACCAAATAATCTCTAACTTGATAAATGAAACTGTGGGTGAGTTATTTGAACCTTTACACTATTAGGTATGCCAAACTCGTTTAAATTTACTCTGCAAGATAGCAAGCCACTCGTGATTACGGTAATGCAAGGTGGAGTATTTACCTACATGAGAGAACGGGATCGATGTGGATCTGTTAATTCTCTTCAACTGTGATTTATAAGAGTAATGAGTATAACTTAGTTATAAAACATAAAATAAATGTGAACTGAAATGAAGAATGGCTCTGCCTTGCTATGGGTGACCTGAGATATCGTTGATATTGAGGATAGCAGTAGATAACATCATGGCATGGTGGTATGACAGCTTTGATAACAATTTCTCTAGGCTAGTTTGTACATATAATACTGTGTTGCTAGGTTTTGAATCATCTTCAACATCATTATGTTCCTCCCTTTCAAGGTCAGGAGATCGATAATCATGAAGTTTAGTGTCACATTTTTTTACAATAACTGTATCTGTATTCGATGACTTGAGGGACTGGTGCCATGCAATTGAAACACAAATTATATGATTATACCGCTATTTTTGTCTTACAAACACATAACATAGAAAATTGTATGTTCTGAATAATCTATTTAAATCTGCTATGATTAATATTGGTATAAGTATTTTAAAATTATCTATAAATTGTTTGAGCATTATAAAATACTCATAACTTGCTTTAAAATTAAAATATTGAATAAAACCTTACTAGGTTCATTAGATAATATTCTTACTTCTAAATTTGATAATAGGTCAGTTCGCACCCATATTATCCATAACTGAGTTAAACAGATTATTCAGAACATACAATTTGCTATGTTAAGAAGGGGACAGTGCGTGCTGGTGTAGCGTCTTCTTCAATAAACACAGGTATCCACAATTATATGTACCTACCTATTAGATTTGCTGGATAATTTAATCATATATTTTAATATGTATCTCCCTATTATAAAAAAATGTCTACCTTTTTAGAAAAGCATAGATCATTAATACAATAATACCTGTCTTATGATTTATGACAGATCATGAAACTTAATACTGATCATATGCCCTGAAATCAATGTTTATATTTGGATTTTCTATACACGATAACATTTTCAAAATGTTATGATATATTTTGAACTGTTTAGGCACATTTTCATTTTCCATTTTTTTTTAGTTTTTTTTCTAAAAATACCAATAAAATGTTATTTGTTGGTTAAAAAAGCTTGACAATTTAATACAAGGCTCCTACTATATTGTTACAATGCATTTGAAAAATATTAAAAATACATAGGCAAAATTTTTTTTATAAGCATTTAAAGTTTGAATTTTGACAAAATTTATCAAGTTTAAAATTTTATAATTATTTTGTTGTAAAAATGTATAAAATGTTCAAATTGTATATCTAAGGATTGAAAATGTAAAACAAGGTTCCACGTAAGTAGTTAATTCTGTTACTAAAAAATCTAAAAACTACATTAGCGCAGTTTATTTTTATAGGCATTTTAAATTCAGATTTGGACGAAATTACATAAAAAAAACCTAGAATAACTATTTTAGCTATTTTGTTGTGATTGTATAATATTATTCGTCGGTACTAGAATCTTCTAAACTTTAGAATCTAAAGTATACTACTATGTATGTATATTAGTACCACTGTTTGTTATTGATGTATAACACGTTATAAGTACCTAATGGATATTGTGATATGGTTAATTTGGAATTTATTACAGGTCAATTTTTTTTAATGCCATAGATAAGTATATAATATGTCTTATACCTAGACTGACATACCGTCAGAATCGTTTTTTTTATACAACTATATTACCTATATCATTAAATTCAAATTTAATACCATCCATTATACAGTGACCCACTTGTACCCTATTGTACAGCAGAGCACCTTTTTTTTTAATACCGAAGAAATATAAAATATATAAATATAAAACACTTTGGTATATCGGCGCTAATGTTTATTGTTGGCATTCCAAAGAAGGCGTTTTAAAAAAAGTTGGTGCAAATGTACACCCTGCACCCCCCCCCCCCCCCAAATCATGCCCCTGGACGTCATCTGCTATGGATTTGAAAATGCACAGCACCTTTTTACATATATAGTAGCTGAGATCGTGTACTTCGTTGCCCGTTAAATGTACCAACTCAATATGACTCAAACTTTGTTCAATTCGTTATTTAATGTTCGGTTCAAAATTTCGGTGTTCAAAATTTATCTTAACTTTTCCGTTGCCCGAAATAAAAATTATGATTTGCAGCAGTATATTTAACTCTAAAGTATCAAAATTATACCAAGCTTGTCGTATTCCACCTATTATGAATTAATATAATCAATTAATACAAAATCCTAACCTAACCTAACTGTACTAATATCGGATGAATAAAAAAAAAAAAATTTAACCATTAGTAAATTAGTTTGTCTTCTTCCCATAGGTCTAATCTACACGCAAACATTTATTTATATGTATAGGTATAGTGCAAAGCTATTATACCTTGCCAAATCATTTCGTTTTATTAGGTTTATCTTAATTTGAAAATGATGTATTTTAATATTATGTAAGCACTTATTCCTTAATAATATAATGCATATATTTTTTCCAAAAATTTGAAGTTTATGAAGAAAAAAGTTACGAATAATATTTTACCCGATTGCAACATAATTCCTGTGGTGGCGCATTGTATAGATATAAATGTAATGCGTAGGTGACTAGATGGTATCCTCGCACAAACCCTTGTTACCTACTCTATCAATCACTCTATCTCCGAGTAGGTATTTAATTTTGATTAAAATGATATAATTTTTTTTTTTTACCATAATTTAAAAATGTAGTTTGGCTGCTTCTTCAATTATCTGGAAAATTCTTTTCTTAACTTACTTACATACCTTACATCATAATTTATCTAAAATACATTACTGTAACTTATATCACCAAAAAATAATAACTACATTTTTATTATATTTATCAGCCAAATATGCGAGATCAACATCTGTTGAATTTTAAGATTTCTTGCGTTGTCAAATATAGTCCTTCATTTTTTAAACAAACATTTAACGAATTGTCCCAGAATTTCCATCTGTCGGTGTTTGTTCCGCTATTTCGAGATAAGATGATAATTTGGTAGTTAGGTATTTAAATCTTCAAGTTAGAATATATTGGTTTTTCGTGACCGTTTATCGTATCCGTATCATGCGAATTAATTATTATATTTATACCTACTTCACTTGATATCATTTTCAAAATATTTTAACTAGTTTTGAGCTGTTTATGGACATTTTCAATGTTCATTATTTTTGGTTTTTTTTCTTTAAATGTCAATAAAACTGTATTATTTGGGTCAAAATGACATTGTTACAATATCGGATGTACATCATATGTAAGAATTTTTTTATAAGCATTTAAAGTTCGAATTTCGACAACATTTATTATATTGAAAATTTACAAATTATTTTGCAGTTAAATATGTATATAGTATATACATTTTTAACTATACACTATATACTATATTATACTTAATATTCGTTTTTATATCTAAGAATTAAAAATTTAAGGTAAGGTTACATGTAAGTAGTTAATACTGTGACAAAAAAATCTAGAAAATATATACAATTAGTTTTTTTTTTTATAGTTATTTGAAGTTAAAGTTTGGTCAAATTTATATATTGAAACGAAGAGAGAACGATTTTAGTTTTGTGTTATAATTTAAAAATATTATTCGCGGATGCTTGAAACTTCTAAATTATATTATTATATACAAATAATATTAGTTCAACTTACCGGCTATCGTATTAATAATATATATATAATAATTATATATATATATATTTAATAGGACAAGGTGACGTACTGACTGATCCATCAAGTCCAAACAAGTACGAAGTACCTAACAACTGGATGGATTTGGTTGAGATTTGGCATACAGATAGGTATTATGACGTAAGCGTCCGCAAGAGAGAGGTCTTTATGAAGTTATGTTATATCATTGAATTCAAATGTATCATCCATTACCGTTACGCGCTTCTAACTTACTGCACAGCAAAGTGATCCACTCATACGCGTTTTTTAGTTTTTTTTTTTTTATAAATGTCAAAAACATTTTATTCGTTGGGACTAAAATCTTGAAAATTTTAATAAAAAGCTCCTCAGACATTGTTACAATATCAATTTAAAAATATTTATAATACATAGGCAAGTTATCAAATAGACAATTTACAAATTATTTTTTAAGTTAAAATATATATATAATGTTCAAGCTTTAAATCTAAGGATTGAAAATTTAATTGAAGGTTCCACGTAGTTCATTTCAAGTTTAAATTTGAACGAAATTACATTTAAAAACCGAGAATAACTTATAATTTAAAAATATTAATTTCGGATACTTGAAACTTTAACTAAAATAAATTATTATATTTTATACACATAAGGTACACACAATAACATTTTCGAATACAATTTTTTCGGCAAAAATTTATTTAACCTACTGTAGTACTAATGCCTTTTAATAGTAAAATAAATTACTTTGCTCACAATAATATCATAAAATACACTTAC